TGGGCCATACTCAACTGCTTTCCCAGGCCACGAGCATGGAATCGGAAGGAAAGTGGGGCCACCGGGACTACAACCAGCGACCAAATGGGACCCCATCATGTTCAAAGCAAGGACTTTTGCCACTAGGCCAACGTGCCAGGCCCAAACTGCAATTTCTATTGAAAGGTTTGTTATCTGGCACAGTAAAACCTCTCTGTTTTTGTTCCTTCTCAATCTTTTAATGGGTTTCTCTTTATTCACAGATTCTTTGTTTTTTGGTATTTCTTTGCTTGAATATTACACTGTTTTGTTCTACATCCTTTTCTTAAGTAAACCTTGCTAACCCCATAACCTTGACTTATATGAAACAATATCTTGAGGCTCCAACTCTCCCTGCTTTGTACTTCCAGTTCCCTTCCAGATACTATCCTGCAGTTCTCCAGTGCAGCTCCAACTCAGCTTATGTCCAATTCCTTTCTGTCTCTTCCCAAAACCTGCTAATTGCTCCACCATTCATGTTGCGGCTGTTGTTTTGTAATTATTAACTACATTCATGCTGAATGCTTCCATATACTATTATTTTTTTAAGTCCAGCTAATTCCATCCTATATAGTTATCTTTTTATTCCTATTGGCACTAATTCTAAGCATTATCAAGGTCTCAGGCAAATCATCCTGTGTGTCATGTATACATTCAACCTAAATTTTAACTTTAATGGCACCCTTAGTTAAGATTTGGATTTTCACATCAAAATTCAAGTCTTCTATTTCTATACTGTTCTTTTAAAAATCAGATTCAAATTCTTCGTACGTAGTGTGTTTGATTTTGACTTACACTTTATTTACTGATTTATTGAGCATAATGTACATTCACATAGAATTTTAGTACCATGCATGACTCAAGTAGCATTAGCACTAGCAGAGTTCATAGATGCTTTATTTCCTATTCATCTGCCTGCTGTGTGAAGTCACTGCCTGCAAAGCCAGGCAGGTTGCAATTGCCACCATATGGTGCCAATTTGGGTCCCACCTGCTCCACTTCCAATCCTGCTCCCTGCCAATGTACCTGGAAAAGCAACAGAAATGGCACAAGTGATTGGCCCTTGCCACCCACAGGGGATACTGGAACCCCTGGTTCTTGGCTTCAGTCTGGGCTAGGCCCTTACAGCCAGTAGAGGTGTAAACCAGCAGAGGGAAGATTTCTCTCCCCGTCTATCTTTCTCCCTATAACTGCCTTTCATACAATTATTAAAAAGATACACATTCAATACAATATTGATATTTACTATATTCAAAATACGAAACTAACCACTGTAAAGATCAAAATATAAGTTCATTTCATTGAAATGAACTTAACATTAGATTTACTTTTAAATGTTTTAAAAACTGATAGGGGAGATAAGCCACATTTATGATACATGCTAGAATGACATAATTATATAAAACATACAGAATAAAGTTGCCAGAATCATTTTAGGAAGAGTTTGCTTTCAGTGGGATAAAACAACCATATTTCATCATGGTGTCAGTAGCTTAAAAAATACTTCAGGGCCCGGCGCGGTGGCACAGTGGTTAAGGTCCTAGCCTTGCACCCCGGGGATCCCATATGGGCGCCGGTTCTAATCCCGGCAGCCCCGCTTCCCTTCCAGCTCCCTGCCTGTGGCCCGGGAAAGCAGTGGAGGACAGCCCAAAGCTTTGGGACCCTGCACCCGCGTGGGAGACCCAGAAGAGGCTCCTGGCATCGGATCAGCATAGCATCAGCCCGTTGCGCTCACTTGGGGAGTGAATCATCGGATGGAAGACCTTCCTCTCTGTCTCTCCTCTCTATATATCCGCCTTTCCAATAAAAATAAAATAAATCTTTAAAAAAAAATACTTCAAAAGTGAGCAGAATGGGGATTTTCAATTGTTTATTCTTTCCATACACATTATGTGAGGCATTGCACTGAGTTCTAGAGATAGAGAAATTAAGAGAAGACAGATCCTTATTTCAAGCTATCTCAAACCAGTGGGGAAATGGATTAAGCTAACCATTGCAATAGGCAGAAGAATTATGAACATTTTCCAAAAGGGGCATATATAAATAGTTACAAGGATAGGAGTTGAAAACAACTACTGTTCAAAAGAAATATGTCTAAGGATAGAGGTTATTTGAATTACATTTACAGTATCACATAGCCTGGGCCAAAATGAAGATGGGGTTGAGGAAGAAAAAAAAATATTCCACACAGAGAAATCAAGGGCTAAATGATGGAAAGGTGTGAAGAGCGTACATTATGGTACAATAGGAGTACAATAGCATACAATAGGAAAGCTGAAGGGGGAATTGCAAGATATGATAGAAAAAGATATTCTGACTAGGCTATGGATCAGATAAAGCCCAGGCTAAGAGAAAAAAGATGTTCTTTAGGAGTAACCAACAGTGGATTCATCCTTAGCGAGTAGGCCACAGATTCCCCTAATTGATCCACTTCTGACTGAAAAATTGATTTTGTTGACATCAAGTAGGTAATTATGGAACCTTTGAAAATTCTTATTTTCTACTACTGACTGCATTAAACTTCCCAGCCTGCATTCTCTGGAGTGGCAATTCTTTCTGTTTTGTTATAACTTCTGAGATTCAGTCATCTTGTTTTTATTTCCGAATGCCCTACTATCTGTGAAAAAATTCATAGGATTTGGGAACGTAGACAATGACAGTACCCAAACATTTCAGAATCTAGCTTTCTTCCATTGCTATAAACATAATTTTCAGCCACTACTAATAAACTAGATTTGACTTTTATTTGTAGTTGGAAAAGCAAGCTACAAGCTGTTTCTAAATCAGCTTTAAAAAAAAAATTCTCAAGTATACATAGTCTGCCTCTCGTTTGATCGCTATACATTACATTTAGCTCCATGAAAACAAAGAAAATGGCCAATTAAGAGGAAGAAACCCAGCAGTTGAGAGAAAAGAATCAACATTAAAAATTCAAAGATCCCTTCACTAGGAATATTTTTCTTTGTATTTGGTATCATCATACCATATGCTGTCCTCTAAGATATCACAGAAAACTTGCTCATGGAAATTCCCTCATCTCCAACCTGATCATTGTCATCATTCCTGAGACAAGAAAGAAATGTGTAAATTTATCACAGTTTCTTGAAAACATGTTTAATTGCATGATAGAATATTTCCCTCTAACACCTAGATGAGAAAACGTCAAGATGAAACAAAGGCTTTAGTAAAGTAGACCTACAAGTGGAACACTATGGTGTGAATCTTGCATTACCAAAGGAAACGCTGGAAAATTGGTGCTTCAATGGAACAAAAAATACAGCCTCAGGAAGTGAGAGCACACTGTAGAAATAAAGATGGGATGGCATTGAAGACAAATGTTTATTCTATGGTTTTAAATAGATCCTAGTGAAAGAAAATCACCAGTATGCCAAAAACAACATCCTTCAGATACTTTGGGATGCTTGCAAATGCCTGGTCAAATCGGTCCCAAATTGGGCATCTTTGTGCCAGTTCATGCTTCTTGTTGAGGAGTTTAGAGTTCTATATCTACTATTTTCTCTCAAAACCAGTTTCTCCATTGCTGCCATTCTAACTGCAGCTGGCAAAGTCATCTGATATTTTCATTAAGTCAAATAGCCAGTAAATGACAAAATCACACTTTTTTTCCCCTTCAAAAAAAATCCCTAATTGTTCTGCCCTGCCAATATAGATATGGTCCTCTTCCTCCTGCATCATGGGCTCGCCATTTTAAAGAGTCTCTTACTCTTGCAGCTAAACTTTGGAGTGGGATAGTCCCCCATTTTCATTAAGGTGAGCACAGCTGTGGTAGTTTCCATGGCAACAATAGATATTTTCCAAAGACACACAGAGGAAAACTATTTCCTTATACACTGTTATGTCATTTATTCTTTCGCTCTTTTGTTAGTTTTGAAACAATGTGTTCAATCTCCAATTGATGCCCTCTCAATGACCTTTCCTATGTTTGACAAATGTGTTTTGATGTACTCAACTCACAAAACACCCTCTGCTGACTTAGGAAACTTCCAATATAAAAGGATTATTCTGGGCCCAGCGGCATGGCCTAGTGGCTAAAGTCCTCACCTTCAAAGCATTGGAATCCCATATGGGTGCCTGTTCTAATCCTGGCAGCTCCACTTCCCATCCAGCTCCCTGCTTGAGCCTGGGAAAGCAGTCGAGGACAGCCCAAAGCTTTGGGACCCTGCACTCATGTGGGAGACCTGGAAGAGGTTCCTGGTTCCGGCTTTAGACCGGCACAGCACTGGCTGTTGCAACTACTTCTGGAGTGAATCATCGGATGGAAGATCTTCCTCTCTGTCTCTCCTCCTCTCTGTATATCTGACTTTGTAATAAAAATAAATAAATCTTTAAAAAAATTTTTTTTAAAAAAAGGGTTGTTCTAAAGCAAGAGGTAGACTTCTTCCCCAATACACTACAACTAAACTTACTCTCTTTATTGAATTCATTCACAGTATAATTGGAGGACCCTTTTTCATGAATTTATCATGTTCATATTATGATTGATAATCATGAGATTTCGATTTTTTTTAAAGATTTATTTTTATTATTTTCTCATTGGAAAGGCGGATATACAGAGAGGAGAGACAGAGAGGAAGATCTTCCATCCGATGATTCACTCCCCAAGTGAGCGCAACGGGCCGATACTATGCCGATCCGAAGCCAGGAGCCTCTTCCGGGTCTCCCACGCAGGTGCAGGGTCCCAAAGCCTTGGGCCGTCCTCGACTGCTTTCCCGGGCCACAGGCAGGGAGCTGGAAGGGAAGCGGGGCTGCCGGGATTAGAACCGGCGCCCATATGGGATCCCGGGCGTGCTAGGCGAGGACCTTAACCACTTGCGCCACCGCGCCGGGCCGAGATTTCGATTTTTTAGTGCATTTTTCTTTTGGTGTTTTGTATGCCTTGACCAGGAAGACTTTACACACAGCCCAGAACAAAGTATATGAAAAGCATATGAAAATGTTTATGGCAGAAAGACAGTACCTACCTGCGCAGGCCTTTGCTGAGGGCCCAGCCCATGAGCCATTTCAGAATATGATGAGGCCTTCGGATCAGTGCCCCGTGTCTTGGGACGCACTGTATCAGACCCCAGATTGGAGGTTATTGCCAAAGTCTTGGGTCGGGCAGCTGTGGTGCCTGTTGACACTAAATGACTTTGTTCATCCTTTCTGCTTGCTGCTTCATCTTCTCCCTCAGAGTCCACAATAAAAACATATTCAGCTTTGAAGAGGTCACTTTGCTGCATGCCTTCTGACTCCCTTGCTTTAAGCCCTCTTTCCTGGGAACTCTTTCCACTGACTTCTAAAGTATTCGTCAATGTCTCGTGGTCTTTGTCTTGTTGGCTCCAAGTGTTCAAGACTGAGTAGTCATTAGAATCAGACTGAAATAGATACAGGAATATAAAAAGCATTGATAATGGCTTAAAAGGTACTTATTTTTTGCATGTACATTGGAAAGTTTAACCGCTTACAGAGAGCTTTTAAGCACAGATTTTTAAAACTGGATTGCTCCAAGGGCTTAAAGTCAATGGTTTATTTTGCTAACCCTTCTGTTTGACTTGGCCAGACCCCAAGCAACTTCATGCTCAGAATCAATGTCAACAAGAAAAACAAATTTTATTTACCATTATTGAAATTATCTTTGAAAAAGAGGCAGTGAAAAACAGAAAATGTTTTTGATAAAGATATCAAAGAAATCCATAGGGATTGGGCAAATGTTTAGTTTATGTTTGAGTGTATACTTTGAAAACTAGAGAGGTAATGTAATTTGAATGAAACTTTTTAAATAACATAAATCCCTCTAAAAATCTTCAAAGGAAAGCAAAATTGGAAAAAATGTATAGATTAGCGCACAAAACCATATGAGCTATTTGGAAGAACTTGAACACCAAAACATATATAGATAGTTTTAGTGCAAAGTGTTCTTGACTGATATTTTATTTTAGATTTTTAATTCTAAATCTCCCATTCAACTTTTTATAAATATGCAGAAAGTTTGCAAGATCAGGACTAGCATAGCTCTTTCCAACACATGTGTTTTGTGTTGTGCATGCAGATGGAAATCAAGTCATTGATTAGATACAAGCAGACTAAGAAGCGGATTTTCATGAACACTCTTCAATTGCTGCTGCCAATTGTATCAGTTGTACCTCTGATGAGAATTTCTTCATCCATCTTTTTTTCTATTTCTTTAATGCATTTTTCACAGCATTTATTACTACCCAAAATTATATTATATGTTTCTCATTTTATTATTGTCTATCCTACCGATAACAAGTAAGCTTTAAAAAACAAAAGGCGTCCTTTTATACTTATAATTCCAAACAGTAAGAGCTTAGCATATGTTCAACAAAGAGCTAAATAAACTAATAGCTACCCTATACTGACATTGAACTGTTTAGAAAACAGGAAGAAACTTTAATCTTTTAAAGATGTGGTTATGTTAATACCATCACAATCAGCCAGTGAAGCTTGTCATCTTTGGAAGCTTTGCAGGCCTGCAGCCTGGATTGGCTCACATAGTTGCAAGATCATACTATTCGGAGAGCCTGGTAGCAAAGGATCTCATGGATACATTGCAAGTAACTAAGCACCATTTGAGAGAATCTGCACAGAAATGTTCCATATGTAGACAAATATGTATAGACATATATTCACATGGAGGAACTATGTAATGGAGATGAACATACCAGGAAGTAAAGATAAACTACAGTATGCATCTCTCTTCATGGATAAAAGCAGCGCTATCAATGAAACTGTTAAATATATCTTGACAATAGGATGCTGGACTCTGTCATTGTCTATACCAACATTGTCATGATACACTTAGCTGAATGATGGACTTGTGTCTGTTGTTGAAAGACTCTACTATTGTAATATTATAGGAGAAAACAATAGGGGGAAAAAGGGAAATCCCTGTGCCTATGGAACCATATCATGAAAAACATATAATATAAAAATAAATAAGGTCGTTCTCAAAAAAGAAAAAATGCTTTACATATAAAGTTCAGGATTTCTCTGAAACAACTCGACCTCATTACTCTTTAACAGAAGACAGCAGCATTGAAAACTCCAGGACTGTGAAAACATCTCTGCTTCCTAGATAAAGGAAAAGCAGCTTTGGTGTGCGCAACTTGGATCTGATTATTTTTATACACTTCCAATAGGCTAAAGATAATATGAAGTTATCTCAACCTCATTTTATTCAAGATAAAGCAATATTAGATACATTTTAAGGAGAAAAAAGCTTTATTCAGAATTGCATTATTCTAACACAAATTACTTTCAGGGTGTTTTTATTATTTGTTGGTTCTAATTTCACTTCTAAACCTGATTTAATTTTAGGTAGACAGGTTATTTAAAACTTATCTCAGCTTCTAATAGCATACAATGAACATTGTCCACCAAATCACGTAATATCTGTAATGGAAAATTTCTGAAAGTGACATAGTACCATTTTTGTCATTTTTTTCTGGTTGTTCGTTACTAGACTGCTTTTGTCCTAACCATTTTCCTACATAACATTTTTCTTTTTTCACACTATTTTCTTGCGATGCATTTCAAAGTTACATTATTGAAAGTTTATGCGCTGTTTTAAACAGCAGATAGGGTTTTTCAACTAAAATTGTACAAATTGACAAAACCAGCAACAAAATATGGTTATGCTAATTCCCACAACTGCTCCAGCCTTGGATATCATTTTTTTAAGTGTTACTAATTCTCAAATGTAAAATAATAACGTGTTACTGTTTTCTTGAATTTTCTTAAACTTGAACAATTAAATTCCACTTTATTACCTTAAGCTACACTGGGGTGATGATTCCAAGAGACAGAATTTACCATGGTAAATAGCTATCAAAAGGACATCAACTCAACAGTTAAGAGTAACGCACCAGCGAAAACTTGAAATGTGATAATACTTAGGCTCCTACAGCATAATCCTATATTCAGTCAGACCAACTTTAGATGTCACAATTATCTTCCTTTAAGCACAAGAAATAAACAATTATACAAATCTCCAAATCATCATTAAGAAAAACTCAATATAAATGTTGGAAACATAAAATGATAAAAAAATATCCTACCCTGTTGACAGTTTCTGGATTCTTATCACTTGGATCCTCAGGAATCTTAACCAGGAATTTGGAGGTGTCAGTCAGCTGAGTGTGAGTTGGCAGTTTTCGGCAGTAGGGACAAACGTGAAGATCAGAGGTTTGGCTTCAGAGTCACCAGAAGAGACCTACGAAAAACATAGTAAATTAGACTTTCAGCTTACCAGAGGTTTATCTTGACTTTATTCTCAACATACTATGACATTTGTCTCATTTATTTTGATCAATGGCCTATTGTCCCATGAACATGTGTACAACTGCCAGAGAAACCAGTCATAAAAATGATTATAATTTTTTATGGTTATAATTTTTATGATACCTTTTGCCAGAAAAAAGTACTACAACCCCAGGAAGGTCCTATTATGGGCAGGGCAATAAAATAACAGGTTGGAGAGCAAGCTGCTGAGCTGGATCCTACAGGGTGTCACTACCACAGTGCGGTTATCATTAACATAGCATCTGGTCTGTTTCACAGTTGACTTGTATCAATTTGACCCTGGGAGAGCAAGTTCAATATATTAACTCATGAACAACAAGCATACAAGGAAATTTCAATATTTATCATTACAAAGAATGCTAAAATATAAACTTAAAATTAAAAGCACGCCTTGGATTACAAATGCCTGGCAATCAAGGGCAGACCCTCTCATTTACTCCTAACTCATTCAAAAATACGCCATTACTTTAGGATGAGAGAAGTTGGCATAGATGTTAAGATGCTGGTTAGGACTATCACCACACCTGAGTGCTGGGTTTGACTCCCAGCTCTGGCTCCTGATTCCAACTTTGTCACTGCAGGCCCTGGGGAGTGAGGACACAGGTGGGCAATAATAATGACTCAAGTAGTTGAGTTCCTTCTGCCTCCATGGCAAGGCTGGAATGAATTCCCCAGCTTTTGGTTTCAAACCAGCCCAGCCTCAGCTGTTATAAATATTTGGGGGATGAATATTTATTCTCCCTCACTTCCCCCTCTCAAATAAATATTTTTGACAGGGTAAATAAATTTCTTATAACATAAGAAATAATTATCATTACCCCTTTATTACAGTCATGCCACAATCTCCAAGAGGCAGCTTACCATAAAAGAATAAATCACTGCTTACTTTTATACTAAAAAAAATATATCAGATTTACTGTGATATTTGGAGAGCAAGATAGCTTACACATAACACAAGAGCTTTTCTAGATGTGTAGTTTTTTTTATTGTTAATAACATTGTATTATGTGATACAGTTTTATAGGTGCTGGGATTTCTCCCGCTCCTCCCACAACCTTCCCCCCATGGTGGATTCTCCACCTTGCTGCATAACCACAGTTCAAGTTCAGTTGAGATTCCTTCATTGCAAGTACATATTTAGGACGAAGTCTGCATGTTGAGACTCATGGATATCATGACGGAATGGAAAGTGGTTTGGGTAATACAATCACTGAAGGTGATTCAAATAATCTATTCTAGAATTGTCCATGGGTGGTACATGAAAAAGATAAACTTTCAGGAGTTGAGGAAGAAAAGGTGAAATTTGGATCTTGTCCCCTGGTCTGGAGGAAGGCCTGCTCTTAGCATTGAATATCTTGCAAACAGATCTATCTTAATGTTCTTTCCCTATGAAATTTAAATAGGATTACCAATAAGGCTCTACATAATCACCTCCTGGTAAAGAATTATTTCCAAGTTGCAATTCCTTCTAAAATATACAAAATGCATTTTCCCCCAAAACTTTGCCAATTCTTGTCACTCAATCTTTTCAATCTCTGCAACACAAGTAGAGCTCCAGAACTGATGCATCACAAACTATAAACTTTTAAAAAGTTGATAGCTATAATTTTAGTGAACAAAACAGAAATGAAATATGAATGAAACCTGATGCTTCAGACACTTCGGTGTGCTTTTGGAACAATATGCTGGCAGTTTCTAAACATAGTCATACACTGATAGTAAAGACAACTTGAACTAAAATAAAACTTTTTCCTTCTTTATTGTTATATTTTCCTACAGAAGCATCATTTTAAAACAAAATTCTTTCATCACTGCAGGAGGGCTTTCTTTTTTAGTTGAACTGATACATGATGCCATTACAGAAAACAAAAATATGGAAAAGTTAATAGAACTAAAGACTTATTCATCTCTCCAGGTTTTCGATGGAGAGAAAGGAGGCCAGAGATAAATTTCTCTCTACACCAATATACCTGAATCACAATCACAAGATTATTGGATAATTAATCTTTAAGCTAACAGCACAATATTACAATGGGTTTCTTTTTACTGACTTTACATAACACCCGTTTATCTTAACAGGGGACTGGTACTCCATTGTGAAAAACTTCACAGTAGAAAAGGATTAAAACTATGCTTGTGAAACAAGAGTATTTCAAAAAATTCATAGAAAATGAGATTAAAACATAAGCTTATTTTTAAGGCATTTTTAAATCAGTACATGGTTCTTCAGAGTATGCATTTTCCATAAAATTTTGAAGGCTCCTCATATTATACAACAATCAGATGAGAGCCACATGTTAGCCAGGAAAGTGTTGAATCCCTTACTGAGGAAAGAGAAAATACATTTTTTGTTTGCTGCATAGTGTGGCCAAGTTCCAATGAAGCCAAAAATGGATTGCTATGGTGATAAAAAATCATTTTCCACACAAAGCAAGAACAGATGCATGTTAATAGCATTGCACTTGTTAATTGCCAATTAACAGTTTCAGCCCTCAATGGCAATGCCGTTTAAACATCTTAGTTGCTATCATGGTGAAAATATTTTAATAGTAGCAATAAGAGCTGAAAGGATTAAAATATTTTCCTAAAAATATGCTTTGACACACTCAAAATCCATAAAATGTCACCTTCCTCAACAGACCGCCTAATATTTTGAGAAATTGTTGTCACCCATGCCATGCAGGCTATCTGTTTCTTCTGCTCAGTTTCAGGCTATCAGAGCTTCCCGTATTTCCCTGAAACTTCGCTTCCTTCCGATGGCGACACCTACACTCACAGATGGCCAGGAGCCTCCTATTCAAGAGGCGTTGAAAGGTATGTCAGCATTCCCACTATGCCAAGGACAGTCCTGAGCATTTCCTCTGCCCAATGAGCAGTTTTGCTTTACCAGCTCGCCCTTTTTCCTAACTGCAGATAACACTTCATTTCGATATACAGACAGATTTATCTGCGCCCGTGTAGCTAGCTCTCCCTCTCGCCCTCTTGCAGCAAACACCATGAGCACAGTTTACTGCTTTTAAAAGTCAGTGAAAGCATTAAGCAAAGACCTCCTTTTACCTGGGGTGTGGTCTGAATGCTCCCTGCTAAGATGCACGAGTTCATTTGGAAGTAATTGTTCCCGCAGCCACTCAGAAGCCCCTGTTCTGGAAGCATTGATTCATCACACAAGGGAGTGAGCAAACCAATGACTGAGGTGGGAAGGAAGCTTCTTACTAAAACAACACACACACACGCACACGCACACAGGGAAAAAAAGAATTCTAAAAAGAGGTAAGGCAAAATCCTTTCTGAATCAAAGAATTATGTCAGCTCCAGAGAACAGATTTATGTGTCCACAATTTTTAGATTTGGAACTTCACGAGAGGTCATGCCGACTGCTGAGTGGTATCTAAGTGAAAAAAAAAAAAAGCCACCTATGTGGGTTTGTCCTCTTTTTTCCATGTATGCATTCCAATTACATGTTCTACGGAAGGAAGTGAGAAGTCAAATCATACAGCAAGGAGAAGCAAATGGAAGGGTCATGGCATTGCCAAACCCAGTGATCCGTTGGTCACGCTCACGGAGAACATTTAGAAATAGAAACACATGCGAACACTGTCTACATACAGAAGCAGAAAACACTCCATGAACATCATCAATAACTTTAATCATCAGCCCTTGATGTACAACTTGCAAGCTGCAATGCTGGAGTATCTGCAGTGACTGAAATTTTGCTATTAATAAAATTCACTGTAAAATAAAGCTTGGAATCAAATAGTTGTCAAAACAAAATTCCATTCCAAGGTTCCTGGAAGGCAATGAATATCAGAACTGCAGGGAAACCACAGAAGTTCACAAGTGAACTGAAGTTTTCAGTTTTTATATTTCCATCAGTAATACATTTTCTCTAAATCTGTAATATCGATGTAAGTGCTTTAACAATGAGAGATGTTGTATATGAATGGCTAGGTATTTACCAAGGTTATGGGAAGAAATTATTCTTGTTACTTTAGGAACCAATATTATGCTTCTGAAGATTTTCAACATCAAAAATCCAAATTTTGGAAACATTACAAATAAAAGAACTGTTGAAAGTGATTCTATTAGCACAGTGGAGAAAACTGTTGTAATTAATACAACACATTTTGACCTAGAAATGATCTCCTTTGTTACAATTGTTTATTTTTCACTAAACAATATGTATTCTCCTATGTCACATAGATTTGTGAATTTTCAATAGAGAATATGGCACTTTCTTGCTTCCAAAAACAATTATAGTCAAGTTGGAAATATAAAACAAGGGAACAGGGACCCAGTACGATAGCTTAGCAGCTAAAGTCCTCACCTTACAAGCGCCAGGATCCCACATGGGCACCATTTCTAGTCTCAGTGGCGCTGCTTCTCATCCTGCTCCCTGCATGTGGCCTGGGAAAACAGTTGAGGACAGCCCATAGCCTTGGGAACCTGCACCCATGTGGGAGACCTGGAAGAGATTCCTGGCTTCAGCTCAGCTCCAGCCATTGTGTCTGCTTGGGGAGTGAACCATCAGATGGGAGATCTTTCTCTCTGTATATCTGCGTTTCCAATGAAAATAATTCTTTAAAAAAAAAATGGGGTGGAGAGAAATAAAAGAGATGTAAAGTAAAAAAAAAAAACTACAGGAAGTACAATACCACAGTCTTTATGAAACTCCCCTACACAAACTACCTGGGGACCTTACTAAGATGCAGAGTGAGTATAGATGTTTGATGCAGTGGTTAATGTTTCACATGGGATGCCAAAACCTCATATCCATGCATCCTTCAAGTCCTGCCTGTTTTTATGATTCCACTGCCTTGTTAATGCATGCCATAAGAGGTACCAAATGATGGTCCAATGCTTGGGTCCCTGACATGACACAGAGAAGCTGGCATCAGTGCTGCTTGCTTGCTGTAAGCATCTGGGGAATGAACCCACAGACTGTCAATCTTTGTCTTATCTGATCTGTGTCTGCCTCTTCACTCTGGCTCTTTTCCAGGCTTTCTAATACATAGAACCAATCATTGTTTGTTTTCTGACAAATAAGTGCTTTTTCTGACTAAGGAGGCCTAGGTGGACCGGCAGCGCCTTGACAAGCAAAGACTTGGAGAAATCTCAGAGGACATGTGATTGTGACCACCTATTCTGGAGCAATTTTAAAAGCCAGATTTGAGGCACTCTTATGAATGTGTCATGGAAAATCTGCCTACTTCTTGCTTAAAAGCAATTTCAGTAAAAGTACCTTTCAGAACAACAAAAACAATAAAGTAGCAACTATAATCTTGAAGCATGACATTCTGGAATCAGATCACTCATCGACTATGGACTCCAGACAAGTTACAGAATCTTTCAAAGACACAGTGCTCTCGCCTGTGAAATGTGAAAATAAACAAAATAGTAATTACTTCACAGGGTTCTTATGATTACCATAAATAAATTAAGTCTGAACTCCAAAGCTCTGTGCTAGAGCATAAAATGTTACTTGATGATACAGCTTCCAGGTTTGATCACAATAATACACTCAAATAAGCCTGAAAAGGTAAGCTAACTCTGCATTATCAAAGACATAGAACAGAGGTGCTTGAATTTTACTCACTGAAGGATGGGGTTCCTGATGTATGAATGAGAGGCCATTGTTACCTCAGTGTTTTTTGGGGTTCCCACAAGGAAGTGACCATGCAGTCCTTCATCTATGTTTGATCATTTAATTCTAGGGGGATCCAAAAAACTGTGGAGGCCTTCCTAACCTCATTCTTTTTTTCTGCCTCCCATCTTTTTCTCTCATCCATTCTCACACACATAAAGAATATTTGGGCAAATTGACACAATCAAATTTGCAAAAGGAGATTGTTCAGCTTCTACAATGAACCCCACTCAAATTCTTCCTTCAATCATTTCACAACATAGAAATCAATCAAATACATTCATCATTTTGGTATTTTGTTATTTTTTCTCTATGTCTTATTGATTATATCTCCTTACTTTTCCTCATGGCATTAATAATTTTATTGTAATAGATTGTTTCTTATAAAGGCAAAAGTAATAATTTTGTCCTAAATGTTTTTGTATTACAGAAACACAGTATGGGCGTGCACTATAACAACAAGCTCCAGCCATCTGGTTAGTAACTACATAAAGCATGAAAGAACACATATATTTAGAATAATTTCTATAGAAACCATTCTCCTTTAGATCAAAAAAGCAATGGCACTTGGATTTAAAAAACAATAAAAAGAGATTCCAGTCTTGGATGACAAAAGATCACATAAGTTATATTAGCTAAAAGGAAGAAAAATTCTATCCCCCAACATACAAACATTTAATCATTTATTTCCCACAAAGAAACACAAAGTTGTTTTTCAGTTTTGTTTTTGTTGTTGCCGTTGTTGTTGTTGTTGTTGTTATGGGGTTTTTTGTTTGTTTTTGGTTTTGATTTTATTTTTTTAGTCCAGCTTAGATTCTTCATTTGCCCAGATACTTGCTGTTAATCCTTGGCTGGGAGAGTTGTCTGGTTTTTTCGGACCTCCATCCTCTGCCATGGCACTAGATGTCTTTTGCAGGCCCCAGTGGACTGCCACATCCCATATGTGCATCTAGATATACCATATACTGCACTATCTTAGTAACTAAGTTGATTCAGTTCTAAGACATTCACTCCATGATCAGACCACTGATCTTATGATTCTCCCTATAGTTGAAGTTCTAAGTTCATTGATTCAGTTGTGGGGGACCCCCAAAGAAACACCAGAGGTGACCCCAGATCTGACTCGTGTGTGCTAGCTAGTCCAGGGGTCCTGCTCAGTCCATCACACACACACTGATGATTGCAGTTGCTGGGTCAGTTCTGTCTTCAACCCCATGTCTTACACAAACCAACGGATGCTGCAACCCTGCCCAACCCTGCCCACCACAAACTTGGCTTTCGTGAACACAAAGTGGGAACTAAAACTTGGTAGGACAGCAATCCCCATGAGGGCCTCCCCCAGCCCTGATTCCAGCACATGCAGGTATGTGTGGTAGACCTCTCTGGACTATCCTGCATCCCATTTGGCTTTTGTACTCAGCATAGGGTATTGGAGCTTAGTTCAGCCCAATCAACCCCACTATCCAGCCCACATTTATGTGACAGGTGCTTCTGCCTGTCCAGCCTGGTCAGCCTCCAGTCCTAATGCTCATGCGCATCAGTGGGAATTGCAGGCTATTATAGGGGTGCGCACAGTTTCTCTACTGGGCGTACTCCTAGTCCCAGATCTTGTAATTTCTAGGTGGTTCAACAGTGTAGTATGACAGGACTTATCTACAGTCCCTCCACTTGCCAGCTGATGATACAGCAGAGCCCAACCGGCCCATACATGCTCTGGCTCTTACATGAACCAGTGTGGATATAGTCAGTTAGCCCAGCCTGACTCTTCCCCTAACCCAGGTCACATACATGCCAACAGATGGTATAGCCCTGCCCCAGTGTGGTGGCCCCCATGCCAGTTCTCACACTCACCAGTCGGGGCAATAGCCCAGCAGAGCAGTTCTCATTGGCTCTCTTTGTGGCTCACCCTGCCCAGGTCTTACATGTGCTGGTGGGTGCTGCAATCCAGACCTGTCGTCAGCATTGCCGGGAGCCTAGCCCAGTCAAGCACATCCCAGACACAGTGCACACCCATGCTAAGGGATGCTGCAGCTATGTCCAGTCCAGACAATCCCCATTCCATTTCCCGTATTCACCACAACCCAGCAGGAGCAGCCCTTTAGCTCCCCTGGTTTAGCCACAGATCTTGCACCTGCCAATGGTTCCTCTGACCCAGTCCAGGACAGCCCATCCCCTGTCTTTGCCATCAGATGTTGCAGCCTGGCCTGGCCCCACCCACCTCTAGTCCCAACTCTCGCTGATTGATGCTGCAACCCAGTCCTGACCAACACACTCACCCCTGGCTCAAACAGTAGGTATGATAGCCTAGCCCAGCATGGCCTGCACTCCAGCATGACTCCTGTATATACTAATGTGCTAAGGTTTGGCCCAACCCGGAACAGTGCATTCCGCACCCTGGAACCAGTGCATATACTTGCCCAGAGTGTAGGTGCCTTGCCTGACCTGATCAACACACAGGCCT